CATCCATCCATTCATTCATTTATTTACCAAATTAAACACCCATCCATACACCCATCCCTTAATCAATCCATCATTTCATTCATTGAGCCATTCATAATTTAAAAGTATGTTTTTTTTGTTTATTTTCAGGCCATTATTAACCAAAGACTGTAAGAAGGTAAAAACAAATGTTATTCCTTGGTGAGGAGTGATGGGATAGATGTATGAATGAATGAACAATCAAATGAATGAGTGAATGAACAATCAAATGAATGAATGAATGAACAATCAAATGAATGAATGAATGAACAATCAAATGAATGAATGAATTGTACATTATATACCCTCGCACTGTTGTATTTAGCACATTTTAACTTCACAATAATGCTAGAAGTTTTGCATCAATTCTGATTTTTCTTTTAATCAAGTGATTACTCGCTATTTACAGCATGACCAAAATCAGACAGAAACAAAGAAGGAAAAGATTGCCTCTGACAATACTGATGGAAGGTCAAATTTGGAAAACTTAATAGACGATACTGAAGACTCTCCACATGATGACAAGAATGATAGAATCCCCAGCACATCTGGCCACACACACCAGGAGGAATTGGAGGAAATACTAGATGCAATGGTATTATTAATAATCTAGAGTATTTATATCAAATTGAGTTGATCCTTGCAGTATATGAAGCAACTTATGCAGCTGCAAATTGAAAGACTCAGAAAAGATTCTGAGTTCTGAACGAGTATTTGTTGTGAAATGTGATTGTCTGGGTGAGTGTAGTCTTGGGAAAGACTGTTGTTGGTGGTGACTGACGTTTCTACAACCTGAGTGGAAGCCATCTTCAGAGTCCAGTGAGAAAACGAGAGACAGTTGATGGTATTTATATCTCTTGCTCGGTCGTAATGTAAATGGTAATTAGTCGTTATTGCTATGTAAAGATGCGTGGGTGTTATCACAAGTCGCAGTCTTTTTTTTTGAGGTTGCGAATGAGTCTATTGTAAGGTGCTGGTAATTGTTGACTTCGGCTTCAAAGTTACTCTTAATTTAGAGTATATTACAAGCTTTCAAGGATTTTAATTTTTCACATTTTATAAAATTTAAACTTACAAAAAGAGTAGCTGATGTGTAATTTAAMATTTTAAAGGTGTGCAGAGAATGCAAGAATGAATTAATTTCTAATTGACTGTCACATGGGATTGGTCAGAATATGATTTTTAACATTCCAAGCATATTTTAGGTGTTCAAATTTTTCTTAGTTTGACTGTAAATAGTCTACTAAGCTTTGTCTAATGAGGAATCTTAATCCTTTGGGCTGTGGGCCTAACTGTTAAATAAACGGTTATTAAAGGGTTATTATTGGGAAGCACAGGTGGYGTAGCGGTGTGAGCTCTCGCCTCTCATCGATGCAACCCGAGTTCGAGTCTCGCCGGGTTCGGTGTTGTATATGAGTAGAGTTGTTTGTTGGTTCTTTCCTGTGCTTCAAGGGTTTTCCGGATTCTCCGGTTTTCCTCCCTCCGCAAAAATCAATTCCTAAATTCCAATTCGATCAAGGAATGAGGGCCACAGGTTTGTTAGACACTGGCTATTAAGTGCTACCCTCGTGAAAAAAGGACAAAAAAAAAGTTTTGATTATTGAAGTTGGAATGAAGAAGCTAAAAAAATACGAACAATGAGRGTGAGAAATTGAAATTGTTTGAGATATTTTCTTTGCTAAGACTTTGAAAGATTTAGTTAAATTCATCATGATTGTATTGATAAGGTTAAATTCTTTCATCTTTCATGCCCTTAAAACAACTCAATTAGTGGAGACTGGTTTCATTTAAGGTTAAGTCCAGGTTAAGTCCATTTTCTACTTTTTTAGATCAAAGATTTCAATTCTTCAGATGAAGAAGAGAAAGTTAAGGTAATTTGATCTAACATCATTTTTTCCTTCTTTCTGTCCTTTCATCCTTCTTGCTTGCTTGCTTGCTTGCTT